GCGTCGATGCGAGAGGGTGCATCCAGCCAGCCAGCCAGCGGCGATCCCGATCGCGCAGATTCCGAGAAGCCCGGATCCACCGGAGAGACGATCTCGCCGCGGGACGCGGCTTAATCTTCAATGGCGAGGCCATTCTCCTTCTTGCTCCCATCGCTATTCTACCTGTCACCTGTCCGTTAAGTCCGGCAGCGAGGCAATTTACATTAGGCGTCATTAATGCCTCGTACTTCCGGTTCAGGTGCTCTCGCCTCGAGCGCACCGCGGCCGGATATTTGCGCCTAATAGCTGAGGAAAATTCAGAGTTATTCAAACAACTCGTTAGTTGATTAAACAATCCGAAGTTCAAGGCAAAAGTTGCAAGTGTAAGACGTTGATCCTTTGCGGTTAACGTTTGTCCAGGCGGACTCGATATAGTGTTTTTCATGTCAATTTTGCGCGTAATTCTGCAAATAGTTGACGCATGATTATAATTCGCAAACTGTGCTGTTTTAGTCTTCGGCAAATTTCTCACACAACAGTAGTTAATTATTATCCCTGTCTTGCCAATATTAATTTATTCGTCGCAATTCGGATCGCAAAGGCGTCTAGTATGCGATTAATGCAATTAATTAGAATATATTAATTATGATTAACTTTCCTTGGTGCTTCGCAACGTAAAATATTGCGCGCAAGCGGTGGAATTTGTTCGTCAATTATTAATTTATGCCACTTATCAATTATTAATTTTTGCCGCTTTTATCGTCGCGCTTCATTGACGCCGTTCCGATAGGAAACGTTTCGACACGCCGCATAAGCGTGCAGGATTCGATCTTATCTTATCGCGCGTCCTGGATACTCGCGATAACAGCGAGGGCGGTATTCTAGGACACGGTGCCGTGTCTAAATTTAACGACTCGGATCTCGCCCGCTAATTACACGTCACGTAACTATTTTCGGCGCGCGAGGCTCTTATCGTGGTGCTCCGTCCTCGTATGTACCTTAATTGGAGCATCGTTATAACAGTGTGCGTTATATGATCCACATGCGGCAGTGTGCTGCAGCGGCGGCTATTTAAGGCCGCTGTCGCTAACTTTAACACGGCCAAGGCTCCCGCAGCGCGTGCAGTTTCGTCATAAAAACATAAATCAAACTGTCAAAACGTTATTGAATTCAAAGCTGTCGAAGATAGACACGTGGAGAATGAAAAAGACCGTGGCGTAGAGTTGGCGAGTAGATATTTGCAGCTGCGACTCTCTGAATTATATATATTCGACAGAATCGATCGTATTAATGACTAATTAGGCAGCGCGTGGAAGTGTCACTTTGACGCACGCGTCAGAGACACGTCAACGATTCGCAATCGTGAGTCACTCGGCCGTGAGTCATTGACTCAGACGAGCATATTGCGGCGATTTAATTAACCGGGCGGGGTCGGGCAGGGGAGTGGTGGGGGGAAGACGTGCTCGTAATTGCTTAATCTGGTCAATTAGCCGATCGGGCGCGATCCTGCCGCGGCGACAAAAGGATCTCGGGCGTGCGGAGGACTCACGAAGACGCGGGGAATGTAACGGGTCGCTCCTTTGTCCGGAAGACCGAGCACTCTCTCTGCCCGGTCGGGTTCCTTCTCGCGGAATCGCTTCGAGTATCGGCCGCGGCACAAAGGAAGGCGGAGGTGGGCCGAAAGGAAGGGGTGACTGGCACTCGGCGAATCTTAATTCTTCCTGGAACGGTCGTTACGTCCGGGTGAGACAGAGATTGCGGACACGCCGAGACTCACGAAAAATAATTGCTTGCATTAGCGAGACGACGACCAGCCGCCCCCCTACTTCTCTTTTCCTTTCCCTTTTATCCCCTCGGTCGGCTGTACGGTCATCCGATGGTCATAAGCGCAGAAAGGGCCAGAAGGGACGCGCGCGTCCCCCGCTTACACACTTCACCGAGACCGGCGCGGCGCGGCGGTATTTATCGTCGCAGACTCGCAGTTATGCGAGCTCTCAGATGGCTCTGTCTGAAGTGGAGAAATGACTCGGCGCGCTTTGATTAGCGGTTATGGTCGCCAATGCGATGTTCAATTAATTTTACGGTAATATTAAAATATAATATCGTCGTGCAGAGAGAGAGAGAAAGAGAATATAGTTATTAAGGAGTTTTACGAGGAAAATCCTTCACGCTGAAATATCGAATCCTTCAAAGATTGCACGATGAAATTTCTTTTATTCCAAAAATACCCAAAAGTGTCCATAAATTCACGTGCTGCGACGTGATCGCGTAGGAGACGAGAGGCTTACTTCGAGAGAGCGCAGGTAGACGACGCCCAGTCGCTCCACGTGCCTGTTAAGGGTGTAAACGCGGCTTTTGTTCGCTTTTGTGCCGAATTTACGAACAGTGTGGGTAAAGTTTCCTTTCTTTTTTTTTTCTTTTTGTGATGCGTGTCTCTTCCCCCTTTGAGGGACACGGTATTGTGGGTAGGCAAAGTTTGCAAGCGACCGGACATCCCGGAAAATGTTCTCTCGGTAACTGCCTATCTACCTACGTGTATCCTCTTTGCGTTTCCTGTTTCTCCGTTTTCTCTCTTTCTCTCTCTCTTTCTCCGCCGTCGCAGACCCGCGCGCCGTGGAAAGCCGTGAATGGTACCGCGGTAAATATTAGTGTGTGTGTGTGTGTGTGTACTCGCGTGTGTGCACCACTGGCGCATCGTCAATGCCCGCAAGCGGGACCTTTTATTGATAGACGACGGCGACGGCGACGCGTAACGCGCGCGTATCGAGTGGGCGTCGATCGCTCGTCGCACGCGGCGACAAGCCGCGTGACGCACGCGTGGACACATTCGGTCTGGGATTCGGTATACGCGCTCGCCGTTGTCGTCGACATGAGTAATCGCACGTTAACACGCACGCGGGGATTTGCGACCAGCCCAAACACCGGCCGGAATGAGAGCGATGAAACATTTTGATGACCGAGAGAGCCGCCGAGGAAAACATCAGTTTCCTGAAACGCGGTGTCATTGTTCTTGGATTTGAACAGTGCGATAGATGATTCGCGCGTGAAGCGGATAGAATTTATATAAAATCGAACGATAAGATTGATAAGTATATGATTTATACACGATTCGTACGCGAAGATTTTAAGATAAGATCGATTCGTCTCGAAGTATTAGTTTCCTGAAACGAAACATGTTATCTTGTCCTTTCCGCATCTAATACCGTGCGATGCATGATTCATACGCAGAGTAGTAGAATTTAGTATAATTATATTAAATTATGACTCTCTCGTCTCTTCTCTGATAAGATCGACAAGATGTATCTTAAAAATATCAGTTTCCCGGAATCAGCCACATTATCCTGTCTTTCTCGCGTTTAACGCGGTATGATTTATATGTGGAGCAGCAAAATTAGTATAATGATATTAAGTCCTGATGGATAAAATCGATAAGATATATCTCAAAATATTGGTTCTCTCAAACGAAGCATGTTATCTTGCGAATATCCTGCCAACGACGCGAGGAGCTTTCCGGGAAGGATGTTTCTCAACTCGAGAGCAATCTACGATATTAGTTTTCTATTATAAAAAATTATAATTAAATAAAATTTAAATTTAATGTAGTGTGATGCATGATTCACATACGCAAAGTAACAGAATTAATGTAATAACATTAAATTATAATTGATAAGATCAGTAAGATATATCAAAATATCAGTTTCCTGGAATCAGACACATTATCTTGTCCTTGCGTTTAATGCGGTATAATTTATATGTGCAGCAGCAGAATTAGTATAATAACATTAAACCCTGATCAATAAAACTGATAAGATATATCTACAAAATATCAGTTTCCCCAAATGAAGCATGTTATGTGTCCTCGTCGAGAATATCCTGCGGGCGCTTTTCGGGAAGGATATTCCTGGGTCTTTTAACTCGAAAGCTGTCTACCGATATTAGCTTCCTATGAAAAAAAAAAAAAAAAGATAATTAAACGAAATAAACATTTAATGCAGCATGACACATGATTGAGCCGCAGAATTAGTGTAATACGAAACCATGATCGATAAGAGTTCGCATCGTCGTTGAAGCGAGCGGAGAAAGCATTGCGAAGACGACGCGTCGACCGTTCTCAACCGCTTGCCTGCCTGCAACAACATTCCTTTGTTAGAAAACCAATTCCTTAGCCTTAGCCAATAAGGCCCGTCCACGTGTGACTCACGAGGCGACTGCCGAGAGTGACTCAGGCACCGAGATCGCCAGCAATGTCCTGGAGGACGATGCGGTATCCGCAGCCGATGTGACGCTGTCCGCCGAGGCTCTCGGAACGGCCGCTTTCTGCAATACTGTAAATCGGATATATCTATACCGAGAATCTTCTGCCCGCGGTGGGGGAGTCTTCTTTCCCTGGGAAACATGTCCCTTAGATCGTTAATCGCGTCTCACATCGAAAGCGATCTATATTTTGCTTTCTGCGAAAGAAAACTGTGAATTGAGATTTTAAATGTGAAGATACGGTGCGAGTAAGTAACTCGTAAATATTACTTTGCAACAGCCTGAGAAGAACGTGAAAAATATTTGAGATTTATAAAAAAATGCTAATGTTCTAAAGCAGTAAAGTGGAAACCTTGTTCGCTCGAGATAAAGCGGGAGAGATTAACGAAATTTTGCATATCATTCGGATCATACATGTCGGCGTGCTGATATCATCCAGCACCGGCGCGAAAAGAAAGTCGACGCAGAGCCTGGAGCGCACGACACCTGCGCGCCTGCCTTCCCTCTCGGCAACCCAAATATTTCCGGCTCACCTTGCAGCCGAGAACGTGCCGCGCGAATGAACGGTGCATCGCGCAGCTGGCGGCCTCAGAAACAGATTTTTTGTCTCCCGCAATCGGTGCGGGGCCTTATCGCAGCACCGGTCGTCTCCATGCGAAACGACGAGGAGCACGTGCCTCTCCCGGAGAGCTCGACGATCCCGGTTTCCCTTCTCGTAGCGCTGTCGCGCGCTCAGACTGTCGGACATAGCTGAAGAGCTTGCGTTTCGGTAAAAAATATCACTTTATTATTCAAGATTTCATCGAAGTAAATTACCGATACTATGAAACAAAACGACGATCAACGCTCATCGTAAATGCTACATCGAACAAGTACTCGTAGGAATACTCGTCGAGGTTGAACGAGCTTCAACATCAATGCGTTATATCGTACGCCGTGGTACGTTACAAACATTTCGTTCTCCATCATTTCTTACGCCTAAGCACAATTACTTCGTTCTGTACATTAACACTCCGCGAAGAAAAGAAAAGCAGTATCTTATATCTGTCGTACGTAAACTATTTGTACAATTAACGTCAGAATCAGGCGTAAAATTAGGCGATAACAATTGTCCTCATTTATAGATACGATAACGATTGTATAATTATCATCCCTTACGTATTGCAGTAACACAGCAAGGTGTATGCCACTTATATGTCTGTTATTATATTACACACATTAGAGTACATTTAAAAATACTAGAGACTGCACTTTATATATATATATATATATGCAAACATGGAAAAATTTGTATAAATTCCTAGAAATAGAAATTAATTCGCTCATTAATTCTCACATTTGAGATGCAATGATGCATCCGTGCATATTGATATAATTGCAAGATTTTCTTTGCTATGATACTACAATAGACTTCAATCAAAATCATCTATAAATGAACTTAAGAGTCTGAAAAATTGGTGTGAAGGTAATAATTATTCTTCAATTTAGAAATGTGTCCAATAATGTTTTACAAGTTTACAATATTAATTAAAAAATAACAACGGTCCGAAACGATTGATTTTTGCACTCTTGATTAAAATATGTGCACGTGACTTTTCGAAGTTTCTATTCTTTGTGAGATATCATAATACATTTACAAATGTTTAACTATAAAAATTACAGTTGCTTTCAAGTGTGTGCTCTCTACTGATTAGACAAATGTCATTAATTATGAATTGTAATGAAAATTTTATCATTTTGCCTCGAGCAAACGTAAGGATGCCGAAACAGTTAAGACATTTAAAAATAAAAATACTAGCAAATCCTTGCAAATGTCAGTTTGCAAAAAATATTTATGCATAAATACAATAACTCAGTATAATCCAGTCAGTTTATAAATAAGATCATCAGCACACACATGTTTTCAAGATATCTTGTTTACTATGTATAGCATATCCGCAAAGTATTTAATTTTTGCATTTGATATAAAATTGTTCAAAGTTCTTCATTAATATATCAAACTCAAAAACGTTTTTTCTTAATACGTATATAAATATTGCTTCATACCTAATAATAGGTAATATATAAACATCACTTACGGAGCAATTAAAGAACTCCGCTAAAAATATCTATACAAAGAAATATAAAGAATTTTGATATACGTGTAAAAGTGATATTTATGGAAAAAAAAATAAACGACGTATAACGTGTCGATATACTTTGCAAATGTAGCTATAGATAGTAAGCACATATAAAAAACCTTGGTACTCTTCTCTTGGTATATTCTACTGTGTCGAAATTCACCATGTCCATATTTTGATGTCCCGAGATGTTTGAGAGTCGCAACATCGAAATTCGCTGGAAGATCTTTAGCAAAAATGCATAATTTTGGGGTAATTTACTAAAGTAAATGTACATTAAAACGCATTAGCGATACAGGCGCGCGAAATTTCGTAGAGCGTGTGTGACGGTCTTCGGTGTTTCTGACCTAAATGTGGAAAAAAATCAAAAGATATGAATCAGTTAATATACATATATTTGCACTCGTACGAAAAGTTGTGCGCTTTATACCTCGTGACTGTACTATGAAATTCAAGTAGCTGTTCGGGCATGGCCGTCGGTGCTCCACCTGCGTTT